GAGACTGGACCCAAATAAAATCATTAACAAAAGTGGAGAAGTAACCACTGACACCAGAGAAATACAAAGGATTGTAAGAAAAAACTATGAACAACTATATGCCACCAAGCTGGACAATGTGGATGAAATGGAAACATTTCTAAAAAAAAATACAGTCTCCCAAAACTGAATCAGGAAAAATCAGAAAACATGAATAGGCCAGTAACAACTGAAATCAGAAGCAATAATTTAAAAAACTCCCAGCAAACAAAAAACCCAGGTCCAGATGGCTTCACAGGGAAATTTTACCAAACATTCAAAGAACTAACACCTATATTCCTCAAGCTATTCCAAAAAATCCAAGAGGAAGGAACACTTCCAAGCTCTGTTTATGAGGCCAGCATTACCCTAATCCCAAAACTGGATAAAGACACTATAAAAAAAGAAAATTATAGGCCAATATCCCTGATGAATATAGATGCTAAAATCCTCAACAAAATATTAGTAAATTGCATCCAGCAATATATTAAAAAGATCATACACCATGACCAGGTAGGATTTATTCCAGTGATGCAAGGCTGGTACAATATTAGCAAACCAATAAATGTGATACATCACATAAACAAACTGAAAAAAAATCACATGATCATATCAATAGACTCAGAAAAGGCATTCAACAAAATCCAACACCCATTTTTTGATAAAAACTCTCAGCAAAGTGGATGTAGAGGAAGCATAGCTCAACATGATAAAGGACTAATATGACAAACCTACAGTGAATATCATATTCATTGGGCAAAACTAAAACCAATTCCCCTAAGGGATGTCTGCTTTCACCACTCTTATTCAACACTAGATGGGGGGGGGGGGGGGGAGAGGGATATCCCTCCACCCAGCCTGTGCCCTCTCATAGTCTGGGACTCTTCGGTGGATGTCCACCTGCCGGGAATACCGCTCAGCCAAAAGGCGGGCTTGCTGTTCATTAGTGCTGCCTCTGAGGTGGTGAGCCGGCTTCTGGCTGAGCTGTACTCTCCCTGTGGAAAAGCACTGACCACGAGGGGGCAGCTCCTGTGTTAAACGTTTTCCTCCTGGCGGTCAGTACACATCATAGCGACTAGTCATTCTGCTGTTTGATCGATTTGCTTATTAGCCTTTTATTATATAGGATAGTACTGGAAGTCCTAGCCACAGCAATCAGACAAGAAGAAGAAATTAAAAGTCATCCAAATTGGAAAGGAGGAAGTAAAACTCCATTATTCACAGATGACATGATATTGTACATAGAAAATCCTAAAGACTCCACAAAAACACTACTAGATTTAATAAATGAATTTGGCAATGTAGTAGGGTACAGGATCAACACCCAAAAATTGATGGCTTTTTTATACACCAATAACAAATTCTCAGCAAGAGAAACTAAGCAAACACTCCCATTTACAATTGCAACAAAAAAATTAAGATACTTAGGAATAAACTTAACCAAGGAGGCAAAGACCTATTCTTGGAAAACTATAAGACATTAAAAAAAAAGATAGAAAATATAAACAAGTGAAAGAATATTCCATGTTCATGGACTGGTAGAATTAACATCATTTAAATGTCCACACTACCCAAGGAAATCTACAGATTCAATGCAATCCCTATTAAAATACCAACAGATGTAGAACAAATACTCCAAAAATTTATATGGAACCAAAGACCCCAAATAGCTGCAACAATCTTTAGAAAGAAGAACAAAGTTGGAGGAATCACAATACCAGATATCAAGTTATACTATAATGCTACACTAATCACACCAGTTTGATACTTGCACAAGAAGAGGCATATAGATCAATAGAACAGAACAAAGACCCCAGAAATCAACCCAAGCCATTACACTCAATTATTACTTGACAAAGACAGCAAGAGCATACAATGGAGTCAAGACAGTCTCTTCAACAAGTGATGTTGGGAAAATTGGGTAGGTACATGCAAAAAAAATGAAACTAGACCACTAGCTTATACCATATACAAGAATAAACTCAAAATGGGTAAAAAACAAACAAACAAAAAAACTTAAAAGTAAGACGTGAAACTATAAAAGTCCTAGAAGAAACCATCGGCACCAAAATCTCAGACATCTCTCATAGCAATATGTTTATGGAAATGTCTCCCATGGCAAAGGAAACTAAGGAAAAAATAAACAAATGGCACTACATCAAAATAAAAAGCTTCTGTACAGCAAAAGAAACCATCAACAGTCCTAGCTAGTTTGGTTTAGAATATAGCATCAGCCTGCAGACTGAAGGATCTCGGGTTCGAATCCACTCACGGGCACATGCCCTGGTTGCAGCTCGATCCCCAGTAGGAGGCATGCAGGAGGCAGCTGATCAATGACTCTCTCTCATTATTGATGCTTTTTTCTCTCTCTCCCTTCCTCCCTAAAATCAATAAAAATTAAAAAAAAAATAAACCATCAACAAAACGAAAAGAGGCCCATTGTATGGGAAAACATATTTGGCAATTATACATCTGATAAAGGGTTAATATCCAAAATATATAAGGAACTCCTATAACTTAACAAAAGGAAGACAGATGATCCAATTCAAAAATGGGCAAAGGATCTAAACACTTCTCCAAAGTGGATAGACAGATGGTCAAAAGACCTATGAAAAAATCCTCAAAGATCATCAGAGAGATGTAAATTAAAATGACAATGAGGTATCACCTAACACCTTTCAGAATGGCTGTCATCAACAAATCAACAAATGACAAGTGCTGGTGAGGATGTGGAGAAAAGGAAACCTAGTACGCTGCTGGTGGGATGCCGACTGGTGCAGCCACTGTGGAGCACTGTGGAGCACCTCATATGGAGTTTCCTCATATGGAACTGTCATATGACCCAGTGATCCCACCTCTAGGAATATGTCCTAAGAAACCCAAAACACCAATCAGAAAGAATAGCTAAGATTTGGCAACAGTCCAAGTGCCCATTAGTGGATGAGTGGATAAAAAAGCTGTGGTAAATTTATACCATGGAATACTATGCAGCTGTAAAAAAAAAAAATCCCTTACCCTTTGTTACCCTTTGAGACAGGAAGGACCTGGAGAGTATCATGCTAAGTGAAATAAGTCAGTCACAGAAAGACAAGTATCGCATGAAATAGGGAATCTACTTAACAAAATAAACTAATGAACAGAATGGATCCAGAGACCTGGAAGCATGGAACAGAGTGGGGAATCTCAGAGGGAAAGTGGGGATTTGTGTGTGGGTGGGAGGTAATCAACCTTGTATGCATATAAGCATAACCCATAGATGCAGACAATAAGGGCTTGGGGTGGGGAGCGGGGGGAGTATGCTGGAGTGGGTGGATGCAATACTTTCAGCAATGAAGATTTTTAAAAAGTAACTCATGCTGGGACCGGTTTGGCTCAATGGATAGAGCGTCGGCTTGGGGACTTAAGGGTCCTGGGTTCGATTCTGGTCAAGGGCATGTACCTTGGTTGCGGGCATATCCCCAGTAGGGGGTGTGCAAGAGGCAGCTATCGATGGTTCTCTCTCATCGATGTTTCTAACTATCTCTCTCCCTTCCTCTCTGTATAAAATCAATAAAATATATATATATTTTTAAAATAAAAAGTAACTCATTAAAAACTGGTGCTGGGATAACTGGATATCCACATGCAAAACAATTAAGTTGGACTCCTTATTTCAAAAATTAGTTCAAAATGGATCAATGACCTAATAATAACTCAAACTATAAAACTTAGAAGAAAACAGAAGTATCTTTTAAAATGGTTTAATACATAAAATGATATATTTCGTGTTATGTGTATTTTATAATCAAAGCAGAGTGTTAGAAGGTGAGATGAGAAAGGTATTGGGAGGCTGGAGGCTGCAGAACTCACCCAGGTAAGCCTAGGCCAGTGGTCAGCAAATTCATTGGTCAACAGAGCCAAATATCAACAGTACAACGATTGAAATTTCTCTTATGAGCCGAAAACCGACTTCTGTGCATGGGCCATGAAGTTTGTCACACTGTGTGTGCATGCACACATGTGGTATTTTGTGCAAGAGCCACATTCAAAGGGCCAAAGAGCCACATGTGGCTATCGAGCCACAGTTTGCTGACCACTGGCCTAGGCAGAGCAGTGAGGGGCACAGTCATCCCTGACTGGGTGCAAACAGCTGTTATTAATCATAGTCTTTCTACCAGGATCTCACTTAGGGGAATGAGTAATGTAATTGGGTCATCACATAAAGACAAAAGGGGATAGGTTATAAACATGGTGAGAAGGAAGAGGGGTGGTGGAAGGCAGCGTGCACTTGGCTCTGAGTTCAAGGTAATTCAGCCCCCTCCCTACTGCTCTGTACTTGCCAGCTCCACTGGAGAGATGGGACCAAAATAGTACAGCCCTTTCAGGCTCAGGCTTTTAGCCAAGTGCCGGCCTGACCTTTCTAATGTTCCCTGTGCACTGAGGCAGAAAGGATAATATCAACCATCAGCTTTTCTTTCTGAAACTAATATTGAGTGGAGGACTATAGTACCCAGGAAACTCAAGCCAGCTGTCTGCTCCAAGAGAGCAGAAGAGCCAGAGGAGCCACCCAGGGAAGACTAGGGCTCCATCTCCTGAGGTTACAGGGCCTCCAGGAAAGTCACAGCTCAGAGTCTGCAAAGACCAGGGCATCCATCAGCAGCTGCCCAAACCTAAGGGCATGTGTGGAACCTGTGGAAGTACCACCAGCTTCTAGGAGGGTGTGACAAGAGAAAAAGAGGCTGTAATCCATGGAGGACACAGCCAAATAGCCTAAGGATTCAGGCCATGTCCACCCACAACACTCCAGAAAGTGAACAAGGCAAGACAGTGAGTGGCTACTGGCAAAGAACTGGAGAGGGGGCTTGAAGACAGATACAAGCTGGCCCAGTTACCACTTCCTGTTATGGTGGAAGACGAGCCCTCAGAGGCTGGCAAATAGGGCGAGAGAGGCCGAGTTGAGCCTCCAAAGCATAGTTCCTTCTGTAATGCCCCAGATATCTCACCTGTCTCCCAGGTTAGGGATGCCGACCAACTGGATGACATAGATCCCTATTTGACAAAAAAATACAAAGAAGAACACGAAGAAGCTGAAAGAGTTGTCAGACCTGTGGAGAGAAGGGGAAAACCAGAAGTCACAAAAGAGCTTGGGACTCATTCCACATGGTCTGACATTCCTCCTCACTAGAAGCCATGAGGCAGAATGGGAGAGTAAACAGAGCACTGTCTACAAAGACCCACAAACTATAATCAGAAAAGGCTTGCCTTTCACTGCCTTCCAATTTAAGGGGAAAATGCTTGATCCCTTCCTCAAAGAGCTAGTAAAGTTGCTTAACCAAAGGACAATATAAAGAGTGTAACAGTCCATCTCCTGGAGTACTTATTTGCATTTTGTAACAGGGAAGAAAATCTAAGCCAAAGGTATAAACCTCTAATAATAAAACTGTAGGCCTGAGTGACAGAAAGATATTTGGAAAGTAGAAGACACTAGATAAAACTGGTGTTTTGAGCACCTCCATTTCCTGTCCTGAGGACTAGAATACAGTGAGGGTTCAAGTCCACCCTGCTCAGTGCATCCCAGTCCTAAAAAGCATCAACTCTGAGGCACAATTCCAAAAGCCCTAAGGGTCTGTAAAGTGGAACCATTAAAGTCCACAGAATCTATTCTAGGTCAGCTGATCAAATATTGGCATTCAGCGATGCTCCATAGTTACTAGGAAAGTAGGGGAAGGGGCATAAGTAAGCCTGGAAGAATAAGCTATTAAAAGCGTATCTCAGAGTCTGACTCTATCAAAGAATACCCTAGAGCAGTGGTCAGCAAACTTATTAGTGAACAGAGCCAAGTATCAACAGTAAACAACTGAAATTTCTTTTGAGAGCCAAAAACTGACTTTGGCGCATGGGCCACAAAGTTTCAATCCCACTGTATGTGCACGACCAACCGCACGTGGTATTTTGTGGAAGAGCCACCCTCAAGGGGCCAAAGAGCTGCATGTGGCTCTCGAGCTGTGGTTTGCCGACCACTGCCCTAGAGCAATAATTTTCAACCTTTTTCATCTCATGGCACACATAAACTACTAAAATTTTTGTGGCACAACAAAACGTATCTTCTGCCAATCTGACAAAAAAATAGGTATACTTTTGATTCATTCACACTGACAGCTACTGTGTTTGCTGCTGACATTTTTTTATTTGACAATCTAAGGGAAGTGAGGTCAGTGTTCATGACTAAATAGTCAAGTACTGCATGTTTTCTTAATTCTTGCAGCACACTAGTTGAAAATCGCTGCCCTAGAACCTTGGAAGGGAGCTGAGGAAGTTCTTTCCCTCTTCCTAGTGCCAGAAATCCTCCTGCACCAAACAGACTGGGTGCAGTGGAAGGGAAAGTAAGGCTCCTGCTTCCCTCTCTAGGTCTCTTTCCTGGTCCAAGATGACCCCTGATCCCTGCCAACTCTGGCTGTGGGTGGGAATGGGAAGTGAATTTCCCATTATCTATTCTGCTCCGACTGGAATGGGATCCTAGGGCTCATGGCCTTGGCTTGCTACCTGGGATGCTAGCCATATACTCCCCCCACCCCCTTGTCCCAGCCCCACTCACCTGAAGGCCTTATAGATGGGTCGGTACCAACAAAGGAAGGCACAGGGGGTGAAGATCACAAACCACAGGATTGAGAGGCCGAAGTCTACTCCCTTGCTGCTGTCGACTAAGAACCAGGCCAGGCAGGCAAGCAGGTTCAGAAACAGAGTCACTGAATGCACTGTGGAAGATGGGGGAGACAGACGTGGGCTGGTGCCAAGGTGGCTGAGGGCTCCTGGATATGGCAAACTATCCTTAGAGGGGAGATGAGGTCCATGCTGTCAGGGCAGCTGCAGCAAAAGTAAAGGACCTCGATCTGTACCCAAGCAGGGCTAGCTCCCGGTCCTTGCTTTTCTGGGACCTCAAAACCAGGAACCAAACCAAGCTCCTAAGAGGTGATGGGACAGCCCAGGTATCTAAGGGGAATGGAGTACTTGGGGAATGGAATCCTCTAAACAACTCTTTTCCCTGGAATCCTCTAAACAACTCTTTTCCCTGGCCCTGAATGGTCCACAGGTTAACAACAGGGAGTCTTTTATCCTCACTTCTAGGAGCCCAGGAATCTGTGGGAGGGGAAGCTTCCACCTAAGGAGAGCCTTTTAGTGCAATGAGCTCCAACTCAGAAGTCTCCAGCTAGTCTCACCCTACTTGATTCATGGTCTGGACTCGCCCTTGAGGGGAGGTTCCTATGACAGGAAGCAGTCTTCAGAGAGCCAATTATGTGGGCAAAGATCCCCACCCCAGCCCAACTATGGGAGCTGGACTCACACATCCAGAGATAGTAGAGCATCTTGCATATTCGCTGGTAGTCAGCAGGGATCTCTGTGGAGAAGTCCTGATAGAAGCAGGGCTTGACAGGGCACCACAAGGGCAGAGGCGGCCAATTGTTCTCTCTCACTGTGTAGAAGGAGATAATATTAAGATGAGGACCAGCTTATGGGCCATTTCAGGATCCACAAAGGGGTATCAACAAGTGGGGTTCAAGATATTTATGGATATAAAGTGGGAAGGGAAAAGGATGATAGGACATAAACACCCACACTCTCAGTACAATATAATGGACCCCAAATGTACTGGGAAACACAGAGCTAAACAGCCTAAGTCAGTGGTCGGCAAACTCATTATTCAACAGAGCCAAATATCAACAGTACAACAATTGAAATTTCTCTTGAGAGCCGAATACCAACTTTTGTGCATGGGCCACGAAGTTTCAATCACACTGTACGTGCACGCCTGCATGTGGTATTTTGTGGAAGAGCCACACTCAAGGGGCCAAAGAGCCACATGTGGCTTGAGAGCCGCGGTTTGCTGACCACTGGCCTAGGTGATTATTTTTTTTGAACAACCTATAACCAAGGAATCGTGGAGCCAATGCCCCACTCTTATCAAATAGTTTTACAGCTGGAAAGGAATACACCCATTAAAGTTACACTACAGGCTTCCTGACACCCACTTACTGGTCTCCCTAGGACCAACACCATTCTAAGATGACCAGGAACTCAGCAAAGAGCTGCAGCTGCCCCAGGAACAAGCAGGCTGAGGGAACTCTCCTGCACCAAGAAGGGGAACCCAGGACCTAGTGTGGCCTCCCTTACCATGTAAGTTGGCCACAGTGTTCTGCAACTCCCGCTCCTTTCGTTCTAGCTCGGCTGCTTTCCTGTCCAGTTCTTCCTGCTGCCGGATTAGGCTTGCCTGGGCTGCAGAGGCCACAGCCTGGAGTGAAAAGGGAAGTGGAAGGCAACCAAACACAAGAGACAGAGGAACATTGTTGGCCTGACAGGAAGTCCCAGGGCCCATGCCCCATGCAGGGAGAGCCAGCTGGGAGCTCCAAGAGAAGTCCCCCACCCTCCAATGTCTTGAGCACCTGAGACCACCAATGAGAGGCCTACTGCTCTTAAAACATATCTGTGGTCCCTTTCCCATTATCAGGGTTCTCCTCTCCTCTTCATTCTGAAACTTGAGATAAAAGAACCATCCTCCATACTGTAGTCCAGGCCAAATTCAATTATATTGACCTTTGGGGTGATAGCAAAGGGCAAAAGGCATCATAACAGACGGTCTTGTAGTCAGAAAGCCAGAGACCTAAGCCTCACTTGAAAAGCCTGGAGGGGGTGTGTGTGTGAAGGGAAACAGTGCAAACTTGCTAGAGTGAGTGGGATGGGGAAGCATTTGAGGCCATAGTCTGTGTACCTGGAACCAGAGGGATGTATATTCAAGCACCTGCACCTGCTCCATTCCCAGGAACTGCTCCCAGGTCCACCAGAACTGTTATTGGCTACATCCCAGTACTGCCCTTTGAGATGGCCTTGCTTTGCCTGGCTTTGATGATGTGAGAGTCCAAGCTTTACCCCTCTCCAGGGTAATGCAACGCCTCTGAGGGAAGCAGCTAGAGGATTCTATGTGAGGCTAAGCAGAGCTGGGTCCAGAGTTCCAGCCCAAAGCCCAGTTCCTCGAGAAGTCTACAGTCCTTATTAGGGAGCAAATGGTCATCTCACAGAATGATAAGCCAGGCATTTATGTACATATGTATGTGTGTTCTCTATCTCTCCAAAATGAGTTCTCCAAAGAGCTAAGGCTACCTTTAGGAGGTAAATTTGAGGCACTAGCGGTAGAAGCAGGACCAGAATTGACCACAGTGAGGGTCTTAGCCTATTTCCCCAAGTCTGTGTCTTCAGTTGAGCTGGACCCAGGACCCACCACCCAGCTGAATAAGAAAGTCTCCTCTTGCCTCACAGGATTCTAGGGCCATGTGTGGGGCCAGGACCCCAGGGTCCCAGGATTCTATGCAGGGGCAGCACTTTCAGAGTAAGTCCGGCCAAATGACAGGAGCAGCCTGGGGCCCACTAGAGTCCAGGCACCTTGCTCTCACTCACGCTCATCTATACTTTGCCTACCTTTGGAAGCTTTCACATGTAGCTGTCTTTGAGAATACTATCTCCTCCTAGTAGCATCTGCCTCTCTGAGAACTCGCTCACTGTCAGGAAACTGGTAGGCAGGAACTTGCTGGCCTGTCTAAGGAGGAGCTGCAACATACAACTCCACTGCTCGCCAGGGGCAATGAGGAGCATGGGGTAAACAATGATGCAAGGAATGGAGGGTTGGGCACCAAGCAGACAGGATTCATGGTATTTGGTGAAGGGACCAAGAAAAAGAAGAAGGAAGGCAGGAATAAATAAGGTTAGGGAAAAAAAAAAAAAAAGATGTTTTTCGGGCCCTGAGTAAAAAAAGGCCTCAGGTGGATCTGGAATGGCATGAGGGACAATGCTCCTTCTGAAGACACCCAGAAGCCCAGCCTGGTGAGTAGGGATTATTTTTTGGTGCTGACAGTGAGGTGGGGGGTGAGGGTTTATGAGAGCAGACCCTCCACATGCAAGTGACAAACTCTAACGAGATTATTAAGAGGGCCCTTGAAGGGAAGCCAGAGAATAACACCCCCTGCCCACCTCGATATCAGGAGTCAGCTACTAGTCTGGGTGCTTCCCTTTGTGGAAAGGAGAGGCAAAAGGGATCTTTGTCAGCAGTACCTGGGGGGTTGGCTGGGTTGGTTCCATTGAGGGCTGGAGAACTGCTGGCTGTGAGGGCCCAGGGAGCTGGGTGACAGGAACCGTTGTTGCTGCATTTGTCTGGTTGGGACAGATTAAAGGAGTGAGGTGAGTGGAATGCCATTAGTTGGCCATGTGGGAGGCAAACCCACAACAGGGAGGGTGATATGCCCCAGCCTATGAGGTGTACTCCCTCTGGGCCTCCCTCTGTAGCTTTTCAGCCAACAAGCCTCAGGCTCAGAGCAGTGTGATGCCTAACCTGGCCTTTTTTGGTCCAGAGCTCCTGAAACTGCCCTGCCTTCTTCAGGAGGAGCCCAGATCATAGACCCTAAGAGGAGAATTGGTGGACCCTCATATTACCCCCTCCCCTCAAGTTAACATTAAGACTGTCCCTTTGAGCCCTAGCTGGTTTGGCTCAGCTGACAGTGTCAGCCTGTGACTGAAGAGGTAGAGGTTCGATTCCCATTAAGGGAACATGCCTGGGTTGCAGGCTCGATCCCTCATTGGGGGTGTGCAGGAGGCAGCTGATCAATGATTCTCTCTCATCATTGATGTTTCTATCTCTCTCTCCCTCTCCCCTCCTCTCTGAAATCAATAAAGATATATTTATAGTAAAAAGAAGAAAAAAAGAAAAAAGAAAAAAAAAGACTGTCCCTTTGAGCCTGCCTCTGTGGCTCAGTGGTTGAGCATCATCAACCCATGAACCAGATGTCACAGTTTGATTCCCAGTCAGGGCACATGCCGGGGTTTCAGACTCAATCCCCAGTAGGGAGTGCACAAGAGGCAGCCAATCAAATGTTCCTTTCTCATCATTGACGTTTCCATCTCTCTTTCCTTCTCCCTTCCTCTCTCTTTAAAATAAATAAAACATATTTAAAACAACAACACAAAAAGATTGTCCCTTTGAAAACTTGCAGGTTCTCAGAACACTCAGTCTTGCCAAGGCTCCTTGCCCAGAGTCCCAGCACCACCTAGAGGACCCAGGGACTCATAAAGAGGACATGCTCACCAACCTCTGAAAAGGGGTTAAATTCAGCCAGACCACCTTGTGGAGCATTGGTCAGCTGGGTCACAGAGGGATCCTAAGGAGGTAAAAAAAAAAAAAAAAAAAAAGCCATTAGATGCTGAGGAGAACGGACGTAACCATACAGGCCGGCAGGTAATCCCAGGGAGCTGACTAAGTGAGGCTGATGATGGCCCTTCCTAGTGCTCCAAACAGCCTCTTATGAAGACTCCTGTGCCTGGCCCCTGCCACATAGAGCTGCAATCCTTTTCCTCTTTCTGGAAAAGGAGGGGTTTAGCCCAGACGACTTTCCAGAAGATATAAAGCAAGCTATGCACAGAGGCCTGGAAATCAATACGAAATGTGTTATTGTTGGTGCCCTTCACAGATTCATAATGGTTCCTGGTATTTACCTCCAGGGAGTAGGGTTTTATGGTGGGGGTAGGGGTAAATAGGTGGTATGGGAGGAGATTTTTCACTTTATAATTTTTCTGTAGTATTTTATTTTTTTATTCCTCTTATTTTTAAAAGGACAGCTCCAGGTCTTAGAATAAAAGCATGCTGCCAGTGCCAGTGCTGACTGATTAAATCAAGCATGCTTAGGTGTAGTAGTTAATAATGCGGATTTTTTCCAATAGATGGAGTTCATATATGTTGATATATATGCGATTTGATATGTATGCTATTTTGTTGTATTGACAACAAAACTTCATATATCAAATTTGCTGAAGTCGTCAACATCATAGATATTTTTACACTTAAAAATGTCGAATTTCATGCCCCTCCCCCCCAAAAAAAAGAAAAGAAAAAGACATTTGCGGGAAATTTTAATTCATTACTTTATTTTGAAGGAAAAGTTATCATATACTTTGGGAAACTTATGGTGAACATGCCCCATCTCAAGATACCTGTGAATGCTGGTTTAAACGCTTTAAAAGTGATGATTTCGACGTGAAAGACAAAGAATATCCAGGTCAACCAAAAAGTTTGAAGACCAACAATTACAAGCATTATTGGATGAAGTTGCGTTTCAAACTAAAAAACAACTTGCAGAAAGATTAAACATTGCTCAGCAAACAATTTCTGATCATTTACAAGCAATGGGAAAGATTTTAAAGGAAGGAAAATGGGTGCCACATCAACTGAACGAAGGACAAATGGAAAACCGAAAAGTCATCAGCAAAATGTTGCTTCAACGGCATGAAAGTAAGTCCTTTTTGCATCAAATTGTGACTGGCGATGAAAAGTGGATTTATTTTGAGAATTCCAAGCACACAAATCATGGGTTGATCCTGGTCAACCATCAACAACAATTGCAAGGCCAAATCGCTTCAGGAAGAAGACAATGCTCTGCGATTGGAGAGATCAGGAAGGTGTGGTGTATTACGAGCTTCTAAAACCAGGTGAAAGCATTAATACTGATTGCTACTGACAAATAATTAATTTGAACCACACTTTGTTCATGAAACTACCAAAATGTGCCAGAAGACACGGCAAAGTAATTTTGTTTCATGATGATGCACCATCACACACTTCAAAACCGGTTAAATACAAGTTAAAAGATCTTGCCTGGGAAGTATTAACCCACCCGCCATATTCACAAGACCTTGCTCCTTCAGATTACCACTTGTTCCAATCGATGGCACACACACTTTCTGAGCAGCACTTCAAAAATGTACAAAGAAGCGAAAAATTGGGTCTCTAAATGTTTTGCCTCAAAACAAGAAAAGTTCTATTGGGACGGTATCCACACATTACCTGAAAGGTGGGGGAAATGTTTAGCTAGTGATGGAAATTACTTTGAATAAAGTACTTTTAATGTTTCTCTTGAAATTATTGTTTTCTTTGACTATAAAATCTACCATTATTAACAGGTACACCTAGTAAAGAAATATAAAGGGCTCAGATAAAAGGCCAGGGAAATGCTTTTGGTTATTTTTTCTCTCGATTCTTTAAAAAAAAAAAAAATACAAAAAGATCCTCAGAACACAGTTTGTCCTAACATTTTTAAAAATATATATTTTATTGATTTTTTTTACAAAGAGGGAGAGAGATAGAGAGCCAGAAACATCGATGAGAGAGAAACATCAACCAGTCGCCCGCACACTCCCCACCAGAAATGTGCCCACAACCAAAGCACACATACCCTCAGCCCCCCAACCAGAATTGAACCCGGGACCTCCCAGTCCACAGACCGACGCTCTACCCACCGACCCAAACCAGCTTTAGGTATCCTAACACTTTAATCTTCCCTTTCCCATCTGATTTCTGCCAAGGCCAGCCCTTTGGGCCTACGACCTGCACAGGGTTCCCAGCCACCCTCTTCTACCAAGCAGCCTTTCTGTTGACTTGAGGCCAGTCTGTCTTCATACTGCCCCTCATCCAGCAGAGCTCCTACACACTCCCTCTTCTCCATACATATAGGTATGGGGCTCGAGTTCAGCTCAACACAATGCCTGGGTTTTGGGAGAAACAGCTGTGAAGAGTAAGCAGAATGCCGCTGGACTCTGTCAAGGACCCTGTACAGGCCTCACCCAGGATCCCAACTGCACACTTCACCCCATCCCTCACTACTTATCCAGATGCTCCTGTCTTTCCAGCCCAGCCTCACCTCTACGAGGAAGCCTCCACAGGTTGGATTTTTAAACACAATCTTAACATTTAATAGGCCCCACGAAACTCCCTAATTTTTCTATATGGAAAAAGACAATAAGGTCACCATAAACAAATCCTGTCTCCATTAATAGGTTGTAAATTCTGCAGCCAGGTATCTAGTTCATACTCTGGCTTCCTAGTGCTTGTGTAGTGCAGAAGCTCAAGTAATATCTGAGAATAAGGGCTGCACATTGTAGGCCCTCTGCTTTCTCTAGGAGGCACCGCCCAAATGCTAGGGCACAGCAGCCTGGGGCCGAGAAACACCTTGCCTGGGAAGAGAAGCCTGGAACAGGAACACTCTGGGAGACAAGGATACTACTTCCCATCTGAGGAGACCTGGGCTCTTCTGAAAGTTGTGGGTGGCTTCAAGAGAAGCTGAGGCCTAGAGATAGAGGAAGGGAGGAGAAAGGACTGAGGAAGAGAGCTGACATTTACTTAGTATCTCCTATGTGCCAGGCTTACCACTCCAGGATAACTGGCCACTGTGTCAAGCCATCCAAAAGAAAGTTCTACTAGCCTCTTTCAACCTGGTTCCTCAAGAGAATTAAGCCCCACTACCCTAAGGCAGCCACTGTCTCCAATGACTTGATTTCTCTCCTGTGCATCTTGAACCATCTGGTTATATTCCATCCTTCAGAGAATGGAGAAAACAGCCAATCAATTTCTGTGACTTGTGGCTCAGCTAAGGATCCTGGCTAAGAAAAGCTACACCCTCTCCTCCTCGTCCCACCTCAAGAGCACCCTTTGAGGGAGGAGTACTTATAGTGTGCAGCTGGAGTAAGCCTCCGCTCAGAGAGGGGAAGCAGCTCGATTTCAGTAGTGCTGAGCCCGACTCTGAATCCAAGGCTATCTGTCTCCAAAGACAAAAGTGATAAACCTTGGAGGGAAAGATCCAGTTCTACCTTGTTTAGTGATGCACCCCTAAAGCCTGGTATAGCCCCTGACAAATGGAAGTGCTTCATCAGTGTGTGGTTGAATGAGCCCCACTCTGGGAGGACACTGACACGGCACTGTGAGTGACCGGGATAACTACTTCTGCTCATTTCTTCATTCCTAGGCCTCAGAGAAGTCCTTCTTGGGAAACACCCTTTGTAGGACACATGCAGAGAGTCTTGTGACTAAGAACCACACTGACTGGTCTGAATGAGGATCCTCAGCTTTTTCTCTGAGTCACAAATAAGAAGTCAACAACAGCAATCTTCTTTTCCACTCACAGAACATTAACTAATTCTTAAGTGGGTCAAGTAGTTATTTAAAAGGATAGTGAGCCCTAGCTGGTTTGGTTCAGCGGATAGAGCGTCGGCCTGCAGACTAAAGGGTCCGGGTCCCAGGTTTGATTCTGGTCAAGGGCACATGCTCAGGTTCCGGGCTCAGTCCCCAGTGGGGGTCGTGGAGGCTTGGTCTCCAGTGGGGAGCATGCAGGAGGCAGCTGATCAATATTTCTCTCTTATCATTGATGTTTCTATATCTCTCTCCCTCTCCCTCTTCTCTGAAATCAACAAAAATATATTTTAAAAATAAATAACCAAACAAATAAATAAGTAAGAGGATAGTGAGAGCTAAGTTTCACCTACAAAGAAGTAACCTAAAACTCCCTCAGTGCCAAAGGCCCCGGACTGGCTAATGCCTTTTACTTAATTTATAACAAATAAAATGCTCCTGAACTCAGTTATTTTCATTCAGCTAACATTAAGTACACACTGAGATGAACAAGGCACAGCTCTTGCCTTCTGGAGTCCATGATCTGGTAGCCGAGACGTGCATAAGAACCCAGGGCAGAATGAAGACAGGAAGGGAGGAGAAGAGAGGTCTAGGCAGGGCTTTGAGGAAGGCAGGGTTCCAAGAGATGGGGGTAAAGGTGAGCAAAGGCCTAGTGAGTAAGGCTCACTTCAGTTCTGGGGCAGGGGAACACTTCCATGTCATTAGGGTGTGAGGGACCCAAGAAAAGAGGCAGAGTTAGGCTGGAGCTCTTCCAGGAGGGGCCTTGAAACACACACTGGTTTTCAGTGGCTTGGCAATGTCTTCTCACGTGGCTCACATGTCCTACTGTGAACTAGCTCTCTGGAACTTTCCTTGTTTTCCCATCTTACACTCTATCCAATAAACTCCAAAGTGGGGTTTAGTTCTGGCTCCAAATAAACATTAAATAAATACCTTGTGGGCTAAAAAACACTCCACCATTCTATCTGGGAGGCATGGAGACTCCAATACTTTTAGAAGCTCTGCAAACTCCTATTTGCTTTAGAGGCTGTGTCACAGAACAAGAAAAAACAATGATCCCCAACCAGGCTGGCTGGGTCCCAAGTGTACCAAGAGCCACAGTTAACTTTGGTACTTTGACCCAGAATCTAAGAATTAATCCTAAGGAAATATGACAAAAAACACATAAAAATCTGTATCTGCAAAGACATTTATTGCACCAAT